GATGGCTTCTAGATTAACATCATTCGAGCCCGTTGTCATCTCAATCCTCTTAAACTAGGTGAAACCTTCTGTCCTGTCTCCCCAGGGGAGAGATCAGCATTAATCACCTGCCTGTAGATTCTGTAGGAAATATTCCTTATCTCACCACAGAGACAAAAATATAACCAGCAGAAATTTTGTAAAGACACACACACACACACACATGTATATACACAGACACACAAACATAATATGAAAGGTGTTTTGGTTTTTTTAAAAGATGTATTTATATGTGATAACCTGACATGTCTGTCACACACCACCAAAGCCAGCTCTTACCGCTGCCTATTTTATACCTTCATATAAACAATGCCGCATGTGTCCAGGATTCCTACTGCTAATGGCGGATTTTTATCGGCATCACAGAGGAGTTCTGAGGATTAATTACTTACTGTTGTTACAGTGCTGTGAAGATGCAAGATGCTAAGCATTGGCTGAGGCTTTCTGCAGCTTGAAAAAGTAGATAGCATCACAGCAGAAAGAACAAGTAACCCACTGTTGCAGCCCTTCTGCCTTCAACAAGGCCCACAGGAAGGTGGGGAATCTTCAGGTTATTGAATTAAGTAGAGCTAATTTAGCAGAACTGTTTCAGTGTTTTGTTGTTTTTTTTTTTTAATTCTACCCAAAGGAGAAAAAGAAACTTCTGAAGCAAATTGCTTAAGGTTGCAGTCGTTTGCAATCTGGCTAGTACAGGGAACTTAGGCAGTACTGTTAGGGATGACTCAGTGATATTAAAGGCAGTTTTTAAATGATTAGAAGTATCAAATCAAAAGTAAATAAGCTTGGAGCAGCCATTCACTTTTTAAAGCAGAGAAGCTTTATATACTATATAATACTATACTAAGTATATACTACTACTACTACACTATACTACTATATAATACTAATATGGATGTCCTGGTTTCGGCTGGGATAGACTTAATTTTCTTCCTAGTAGCTGGCATAGTGCTGTGTTTTGGATTTAGGAGGAGAATAATGTTGGTAACACACTGATGTTTCAGTTGTTGCTAAGTACTGCTGATGCTAGTCAAGGACTTTTCAGCTTCCCATGCTCTGCCAGGTGCACAAGAAACTGGGAGGGGGCACAGCCAGGACAGCTGACCCAAACTGCCCAAAGGGCTATTCCATACCATATGACGTCATGCTCAGTATAGACCGGGGGGAATTTGGCTGGGGGGCAGCGACTGCTGCTTGGGGACCCACTGGGCATCGATCAGTGGGTGGTGAGCGGTTACATTACTTGTTTTTTCCCAGGTTTTGTTTCTCTCTTGTTTTCATTACTACTTTTTTTTTTTTAAATTTAAATTATTAAACTGTTCTTATCTCAACCCACCAGTTTTCTTACTTTTGCTCTTCCAATTCTCTCCCCATCCCACAGGGAGGGGGAGAGGGAGCGAGCGGCTGCAGGGTGCTTGGTTGCCAACTGGGGTTAAACCACGACAATGGATTATGCCAAATCTCACACAGCCATTAGGAAGACCAGGATGCTTGTTGGTTAAAAAACTTGAATGAAAATTGCACCATCTTTGTACGATTCTCCAATACCTGGTGTGCCGATTGACTAATACTCTTTTTACCACACAGTTAAGCGAAGTTAAGTGCTGCAACACTTTTTGCTGCTGGCCCTCCGAAAGCTCCCTCCCCTCCTGAAATTCAACTGCACGCTTAGGCGCCTGCAGCTTTGGCAAAGGAACAGCAGGGATGTTGCAGGAAGTGTTGCAGACTGTCTCACCAGGGGAGGCAGTGGGTGAGGTGTTCTGCAGTCAACTGGCGTCGGTATGTAACGTGCAGGTCATCTGAGCAGGCAGCACAGCAGAAAACCCTGGGAGGAGCCTGTGATGCTTTATATGCCAGGATGCTTTGTACGCCAGCCCAAAGTGATCAGACCTAAACAGAAGTCTGTATGGAGTTCAGCTGCAGGAGGTCTGGCTGGGATTAAGCAGAGGCAGTTGTGTGCTAGGAGAGGTTTTAACTTATTTCAGGATGAAAATACAGTGTTATGCCAAGTTAAGGTTATTTTTGAAAGAATCTGAAAACTGGATGTGCCAAATTATATCTTAAGCCTTTTGGTTTTGAATTAGCAATATCCCTGTATACAAAAGGGTATTTACAGTGCTGAGAACGTTTGTCCACACCATGTATGTGCTCCTGTAAACAAAGGGTTTCAACGTAATAAAGGCAGCTCCATAATAAATGCATAGAACAAATGGGTATGTACAGTTCTGTACTTGTTCCATCAGTACAGCACGCAAATGTTTAAATCTACTCTTTATATTTCTACAGAGACATGAGATTAGTATCAATAGGAGGTGGTACAGATGAAACCATGCTTTCTATCATATGCAAATACATGGAAACACTTCCAAGCAACTGACGCATCTCCCCTCTTCCTTGAAAATTAAGCAAGCAAGAGCATGGCTTGTACTGCACACTGAAGGTAACAGCCAGTACATGTTCCAAGGGTAAAATAAGTAGAAAATGTAGCAGTAATTTTGCCAATGAACTGCTTTGACCGTTCTCATTCTATGTGTTCTCCAGTATCAAATTTCTGTTGATATGAAGCAGTCTGAAAGCATGTGGCCTCCTGCAATTGTTTTTCCTCTTTTCAGTGGGTTACTTTTTTTGGGGGGGGGTCTAGTGATCCACACTAAGCACAGAGAAAAAAAACAAGGTGTATCTACATTTTAGAGCATCTAAGCCACCAATTAAGAAACATAACTTCCATATGGATACAGCTATGATTTCACTAGTAGCCTAATCTAATTTCAGTGTAACTTTGCTTTCAAGATCAATAATTAAGGCACAAATTATTCCCTTCCATATTCAAATACTGGAACAGTGATTTTGTGCTCAATTAGAAGCGCCTTCCCTGTCTTTCAATTTTAGCAAGTAATCATCAAAATGAGCTCTGTCGTCTTTGCCAAGTTCACATCGATTTGTACTACACTCTGTCATGTATGTTTGGTGGCAGGAGTGGGGGTTGATTTTTCTTTGTAGAATTCTACAAACAACTGTTTAATTGTATCTGAAACTTTTGGAGGCCTGAACTTCAGTGGTAAGAATCACAGAATCATAGAAGGTATCATGTTTTGTGTGCAATTATTAAAGAAAAATATTTTCAAAAGGTAAATATGAAAATTGTGTTATTACTTAAATGAGATGATACAACTTTATATTACATGCCACAGTCACCTTAAAACAGGAGCGTGTACTATTTTCAAAATTACTGTGATTTGTTACACAGAAAATCTCACTGAACTATACATCTGCTATGATAAGCATAAATTCTTAAATTGATCTTCTTTAAATCTTATTCTTTATGTTTACTTGCATATCAGCCATAGCTTCAAAACCAACATCAGCAACTCTTCCTAAAGCAGCCATTTAATTCAGAAGCAACAACCTGCATTATTCAAAAAAAGGTTCAGTGGACTTTTCCTTGTAACTAACTGGATGTGTTAAGCATTTTCTAAGGAATCTCCATGATACCGTAAGGTTAACAGTTTGGTAGTTAAAAGATGGTATTTTCTTCCACCTGGAAATAATCTGTATGGTTGCTAGGTAAAGTCTGTTACATTAAATTGCAAAACACAACATATATAAATAGTGTGTTGTGGTGGGTAGACCCTGGCTGGATGCCAGGTGCCCACCAAAGCTGCTCTATCACTCCCCTTCTCAACTGGACAGGGGAGAGAAAAAAATATAATGAAAAGCTTTGGGTCAAGGTAAGGGAGAGATCATTCACCAGTTACCATTATGGGCAAAACAGACTTGACTTGGGGAAAATCAGTTTATTACTAGTCAAATCAGCGCAGGATAATGAGAAATAAAAACTAAATCTTAAAACACCTTTCCCCCACCCGTCCCTTCTTCCCGGGCTCAACTTCACTCCTGATTTTCTCTACCTCCTCCCCCAGAGCAGAACAGAGGGATGGGGAATGGAGGTTGCAGTCAGTTCATCACATGTTGTCTCTGCTGCTCCTTCCTCCTCAGGGGAGGACTCCTCACACTCTTCCCCTGCTCCAGCATCGGGTCCCTCCCACGAGAGACAGTCCTCCATGAACTTCTCCAACATTAGTCGTTCCCACAGGCTGCAGTCCTTCAGGAGCAGACTGCTCCAGCGTGGGTCCCCCACAGGGTCACAAGTGCTGCCAGCAAACCTGCTCCAGCGTGGGCTCCTCTGTCTCCACAGGTCCTGCCAGGAGCCTGCTCCAGTGCAGGCTTCCCATGGGGTCACAGCCTCCTTCAGGGCACATCCACCTGCTCCAGCGTGGGGTCTTCCAGGGGCTGCAGGTGATACCTGCTCCACCATGGACCTCCATGGGCTGCAGGGGCACAGCCTGCCTCACCATGGTCTGCACCAGGGGCTGCAGGGGAATCTCTGCTCCAGTGCCTGGAGCACCTCCTCCCCCTCCTTCTTCACTGACCTTGGTGTCTGCATAGATGTTCCTCTCACATATTCTCACTCCTCTCTTTGGCTGCAATTGGTCAGGTTTTTTCCCCCTTCTTAAATATGTTATCCCAGAGGTGCTACCACCATCGCTGATGGACTCGGCCTTGGCCAGTGGCAGGTCTGCCTTGGAGCCGGCTGGCATTGGCTCTATCGGACATGGGGGAAGCTTCTAGCAGCTTCTCACAGAGGCCATCCTTGTAGCCCCCCCCACTACCGAAACCTTGCCATGCAAACCCAATACATGTGTAAAAATTACGTATACGATTTCAAACCCAAGAATAAATATAACTGCAGTATTCCTATGCAGCTGCTATTACTGCAACTTTATAAAAATCCTACTAGTATTCTTCTATCATATCCACTGTATAGCGTATTTTATTCTACAAGATCATACTACAGCATCCTGAAATCTTGCTAACGTTTGTGAATTTTAAGGACTGTCAGAGTAATACTTTTCTACCAGAAAATTACCAGTAAAGTAAGTGCAGATGCGGAGGGAAATTCTAAGGCTGCAATGCATGGTTTCCACCAATTGCCATTCCCTTTCCTGACTGAAATATTCTCAAAGCACTTTCACCTTTACATGTTGCCTTAACCATTCTAAGCAAACTTGCAGCATTTCAGTTCAGATTTTAAACTGAAAATTGACCTTGTGCTGGAAGTGAAGAAAGGGAAATGTGCTACATGGGTACTTGCTCCAAAGGTAAAATAACATAAAAGCATAAAGAAATGTCACAGTTTTGACTATGTAACTTTCAGTTACCTTTCAGTTCAACAAGTTCACATTAAAAAAGCCTAACAGAGTTGTGTTTTAGCACTTAATTTAAAAAGCCCTTGTGTGTTTTCTAATAAACACAGAGATGTAGAAAGTTGTTTGGAGGCTTCATATATTCCTTGTGTTTAAGCTTTCTCCCCATTTCCTGCCCTATCTAGACAACTACAAAAAAAGTGACAGCCCTCCTTCAATGAAGAAACACAGACATAGGCTTAAGATTCCCCACCCAATTAATTTCCTCTCACTCCTCTGCACCACTAAAGAATGGAGGGGAGAAGGAGGAGGAAGATGACCTAGTTCCTATTTTGCATTAATTACCTTTTAATCTGGTTTGACGTATTTTAAATGAAAATCCTGTTGGTTTTAGACATGATCTGAAGGACTGGTAAAAGATTTTTACCAGTATGTGCTCTGTCGAGACTTAAGGGACACTCTAGCATACGTTTCAGAACAAAGACAGGAAATGTATCAGCCATATAACTAGCTGCATCCACCCATTTTTCTACTTTATATTAGGTAGTTAAAAACTTTCCCCATTTATTGGTATGGCAGATTGATCACTAAAAAATAAAAAATATCATGTCTAGAATTGTTCAGACACCATGTTTAAGTGCCAGAAATATATTTCTAGAAGATGATCAACTATCAGGGGAGTGTGGCTGTCAAACAGATATGTCAGTAATTATCATCTCACTTGTTAGGTACCTTGCACTCCACCGTCTCATTAAAATTATACAAGTGCATTAATTTTGAATGGCAAACTATATCCTATTGACTAGCTTTGGGAATGCTATACTTGTTAAACAAGCCTAGCAATCCCCCTGTAAAGACGATGCATTATCCTGGTGTTAGTACTTAGATGTTCTGTTACTTGTAGAAGTATTGTAGACCTTGTAACAGTCAAAGATTAAATCAGCTAGAAATATCTGAGCTTTACTTTTGCACATACTGTCTGTTGTGTATTAGATAAGCGATATCCTTGTCACACTTCTGTTACATATAAAATCTGCCATGAAAGAAATGTAGCATACACCTCCATTTCTTATTTTAATAGCGCTCCCCACACAGGTATAGCCCCTTAAATGCAGCACCATTTCCAAGAAATACATTGGTATTCAATAGTAGAAAAGAATGTATATAAACACCACTAGCTAGAATACTATAGAACACTTTATTTGTCAGTTTGAAATTAGTTATTAATGGCAACATGCTATACAGTATTTCTAGAAAAGTTTTTCAAAAATCATAGATACCATTTCAATATCTAGGAAACTTAATTTTTTGAATGTTGAACTCAGCAATGTAATAGCTTCAACTATTAGAAACTATTCTGTGAGCCGAAGTTAAGTCTTCAAATTAAAAAACCTTAATATGACAGCACCTCCAATAGGTGCATCACAATATACTTTAATATAAAATTCAAAATATCTGACCTTGTTTTTCAGACATCACGCAGTATAGATTTAGGGATCATCACAGACTGAAAAGTAAACATACTAGTGGTAAAAGTTCTAGTGATTCAATGGAATCATTAAGTTTTAGATACTTTAAATATAAAGAAAACATTTGTACTGTGTCCCTCCTGGTTGATCCCAATGATCAAAGGCATTTGCTTCGAAGAATACATATGTAAGCATGGTTTGTCACATTTAAATAAAAAAAAAAAAAATCCAGTTTTAAGTAACTTCTCCCCAAAACACACAGTTTAAGCTACTTAAACACATACACTATCTGACCTATCCACAAAATAATTTTTGGGGGTACCACTATTACATTTGTTAGCTTCAGGCTAGCCTTCTAAAAATCCACAGATAAAACCAATTTAGAAAGCTCCAAGTATTCTTCATGTTTTTACAACCTAGAAATTACTATATGCCTGAAACTGGAGCTCTAATTTAGAGCATGGCCCAGAATGAAATGCAGAATGGAAGAGAAAGCCTTGTAATTCTGCAATTACTTCATATCCAAACAACTGTTGGCTTTTGTATTTTTTAAATCAATTCTAAAAACTATTTTCCCCTAAAAAAGCAACCTAATATGCTAGCAGTTTCTGCATATTTACAATCCCCCCCAAAACAGGGGATGAGGGGCAAAATTGAGACATTAAGAAAACTATATAAGAAATTGCATTAATAGTTAATGCAATTTACAACAATTTCACTGTGTTTTATGAACAGAATACTTCAGATCAATGTCTTCATTAATTAAGACTGCTTTATAGTTGAAATTACACAATTTAAACCAAAGGTAACATGCATCACCTCAATTTAATAATCCAGTATATTACAAAAAAAACAAACAATGCAAAGAGCATCATATAGCATAATAGCTTTGTCTGGCTTCCTCTGGAGAGTGTTCTCAGTCTGCCCATAGTTGCACCTAGAAGGCCACCCGTAGAGTCAAAATCATTATCCTACATTTAAAAACAAACCAACAAAAACCATGTTACTCTGAGGAAAAAAAAAATTACCCCTAGAGCTTGCTAAGTGTAGCTCTTTCTGTTTTTTCAAGTTTTCCAAAACTAAAATTATTTCAGAGGCAGTTTCTGAAAATTAACTGGAAAAAACTTTCACCCATTTATCCAGATGGATGCAAGCAAAAAAGGCATTTCTGACTTCCTTATTTTTTGCTTCCCTGTTCTAAAGTAGATTTAAATGTAGAACTGCCTTTTTAATACTACTATACATTTGCTAATTGAAAACAAATACTTGTATCTGAAGTATAAAGACCTTGGTTGTGCTTTGGAAGTAGTGCATTTGCACATCTATCTTTTTTAACAGAAATACTGCTGCTGAATTAGTCACATTTTACAGCCAACAATAAGCTGTGAACATTTTAATACAAATGTTCACACTAAAAGAATGAATGCTTTACATTACTAACTTCTTGATCCTAACCTATATTTAAAGAAAGTTAGTGACTAAACACTTACCATTTCTGATAACATTTTATTTTGGTTTTTAACTTCTGTTCCAATTTCAATGGAAAGCTATTAAAAAAACCCAAAAAGTATTAAATATGAGTAATCAGTTATACACAGATTAGAGAAACCAGTCTAAAATATGTGACATGACTAGCATTGCCCCAGGTAAAATGTGAAAACAGTACCTGGTATTTTCAAAAAACAAAATAACATGCACAGTATTCTGTTAATAACCATTAGGAAAACAAATATTTGTCATTTGACTAGATGAGTCCAGAGAGTCACAGAAGGTACTCAATGCTCCCCCTCCCCTTTTCTTCTTGAAAAGAGAATTCCTTATTAGAATTATTGCACAGACTTTCAAAAATTGAAGATTTAGTGAAGTCTAAGTAGCAATTACCTGTTTCCTGAAACAACTGTTGAAATTAGCGGCACACAGCACAGAGGACCATGAGTACTCTTTTTGACTCAGTGTTGCTGCAGTTGACACCTGCAACCTGCTAACGCATCTCTTCTGACAAGCTGCTGCTATGCTATAAATGGGAATTTCTTTTGTGAACTTGTCTATTCCTCCTCTGCTTTGTGTCATGAAACAGGAAGGGTGCAGCAGGACAAGGAGGTGAGCTGAGTATGCAAGTGAGAGTCAGTCCAGAGGTAGTAACTAGGGTCAGCAACAGCCTGGTGATCGCCCAGCACATCCACAGCTATGAGACAGGTCCAAGGTCCAGCCAGAAAGTCAAGTCTGCAGGTTAGGGTTGGAATCACGGAGGTATGAGACCAGTGCAGACAGAGCTGCAACACAGCTACAGCGTAGCAAAGGCAGGGGCCAGCCAGGAGAATCTTGGCTTAAAAGCAGCTCCCAAGTAAAATAGCGGAGATCCCCCACTGAGGGTTCTTATCAGCACCCTGGCCTTGAACAACCAGCTCAACTCCTAGAAGGGAGGGAAATTTGCTCCAGGCCCCGATGCTTTGGATTAGCTAAAACCCATATGTTTTTTGTGACACAACCTAAATTTCATTATTTCTTATTGCTACATTTCACCACAGTCTATCATCAACTCAAGAGTGAAACATGAGGCTTCTAAGAAGATTATCTGAAGATTATTCCATACTCCAAGATCATTACATTGCACTAAAAGATGCAACTGCAGAAAGAGCACAAATGCTACTCCATGGGGCACTATCAAACAAACTGTAGACATCCCCTGGGACACTGATTTGAAATATAACGTACCAGAGAAGGAGATGAGAAATTAAGTTCTGTAGCAAAGGTCAAAGCTTTTCTTTTTACCTCCTTAACTTATTCTAAATTATTTAGGTGGATAACTTATTAACTTAAACCTAAGGTTTTATCTTCTATTTGAGACTAAACAAATTAACTTTAAGCAACAGGATATTATTAGCAATAGGAATTTGAATTACTTTAGGCCTAAGAATTCATTGGCTTGCACTACATATGTAGAAACAGCACCTATTGCTAAGAATGTATTTTAAAAAATCTTAAGTTGTTAAGAAAAAAAAACCCACACAATTTTAATCACAGAGCTATCTTTCACTTAGACTTGCTTGAAAGAAGTCCTTAATCTCTGGGAAGAACCAGAATCATTAAAACAACAAACTTCTCTTTCAGAGTGTATTAGCAGAGTATAATAGCAGCTGTTTTCACATTACAGATTTATAAGCAGATACAGCAAAAGCTGATGAGCCACAGTGACAACACCAAAACCAATTAGTCTATTTTCTTAAATGAACCTGAGACAGTTTACTGACCTAAACTCAAATTTTCTAGTTTCTGCAGGGACAGGAGCTCATTCTATAGGACAGTAAGCTGTCAGTAACACCACAGCTGTCCTCGAGATTAGCAAAGAAGGACACCTCTAGCTAAAAATCTAATTAAAGGAAGAATCAGCTATACAAACGAATGATTATGCATTTTGGTTGACAATAATTCTTTCTTGTATTAAATTTATGTTTTAAGCTAAGTCTACTGTTTCACTGGTCCATATAATTTAACTCAATAAATGTGATGATACCACTAAAATTAAATACTTACTGATTTAATGGCACTGACTTTTGTACGCAGACTTTCTGTTAACCTTTCATTTTCTTCTTCATAAACACTGTATCCACTATTGGTATAGCCATAGTTACCAGTAGGTGCTCCATCGCCTATAAACACAAGAGTCGGTAGTTAGACAGAAAACACCACCCGGAGCAAGTGCTCTCCACATGCGGAAAAGCACTCTTTCCATTTAAAAATGCATTTCCTTAATGTCACCCTTCGCAATCAGGAAGAGGCGTTGCATGTTCCTGGGATGGAGATTCAACCTTTTTCAAATGTGTAAGTCATTTTTCAATATGCAAATCAAAGATGGAAAACTGAGGAATAGTTGTAATTTAATGCTATAAAATTTTTCCTGAAACAGCGTTTTCAGATTACTTCTGTGGAAATCAACCTAGGCATTACATGGGGATATGAAGGGAGCACCGAGGCCACTACAGAGTGGTAAACCTAACTCAAAATAGGAAAGTTGAGATAATTCTCTAACAAAGACAAATACCATTTCATCACACCCACATTTAAAGGAGAGAATATACTCTGATCCTTACATGTATTTCTCTACAAACAAGACCTCAGACAAGAAGCCAGGCCTCTGAGCAGAACACTGCCATTTCTGTCACCATTCTGCAGTTCTATTCCCACTTCTGCCTTTGCTTTTCAGGTGATGGGAGCTTCAGGACTGTTATCCAAACAACTGACTCAGCAGAGTAAGCGGAGCAGAAGGGAAGGAAAGCTCCTCAGCTCCACACATTCACTTCCTCCAGCCTCTAATAAAGATCTCCTACAGACAACAGTCAGACAGCAGCACAGGCACAGGAGAATTAAAGCTGTGTCCTGTCTAGACAAAAATCAGTCTTGGGCCTCAAATCAAAGATTTGAAACCAAAGAAGACAGCCCAAGACTGACAAAGGCAAACAGAAAAGAACTATTACAAGCTTTATGATAAAGATCCTACTAGATTAATTCAACTTGCAATCCAGCTATGACATTAACCAGTATTTATATGGCTAGTCAGAATGCCACACTAAAGTTGTCTGAATGCCTTTGGTTAATTCCTCTTCATTGCAATTGAAAGGTTTTTGTGTTTGGGTGCCTTTTTTCTTTTTGAGGAAGAAGGGAGAGAAGAGATACACCAGCCACATTCACAGATAAAGCTCTGTCTCAAACAGTTTCACTGTGTGCTTGGTATACATAATATTAAGATTTTAAAAGACAGAATTATGATACTACTGTCATAATAGATATCATTTTATATTAATCCATAAAACTGTTCGTTAAGTGTAAGTAATGACAATTTTTTAGTTTGTACTTGTAAATTGTTTTAATGTTATTCTATAAATTAAGCTAATGACAAATTCTCAACAAGACTGGGTGAAATGTATGCTTCCGTTTCATCACACTGAGAGTCAAGAAGTTCCCTCTCCCCCCAGTCAAAAGTATCAATGCCAAGTATAGAAAGCTGACTAAAATGACATCATTTAGAGTCAGGGTCATTCCCTTTGTTTTGTTTTACAAATGCATCTAAGTACAGTACTTCCTACCAAGTGACACACAATGTTGAATATGTTTATAAGTTAATATACCATATCGCTTCAGGCCAAAATACCATTAATTGATTATTACATAGACTGTGTCATAACAGATGTGAACAACTGCCCCAGAGCTTTTAAATAGGCACAGCTACTTCTGAATATGTAATAGAAAGCACTATGTAGAAGCCTGGCTACTGCTGTTTAGAGGAAGAACAGAAACTTCAGCATGGCAGTTCTATGGGCTGTCTTCCAACACTGTTCATTGACAGGACATGCAGACATGACCATAACATCATCACAGGCTAAAAAAAAGGTACCAGGTATCTGCTGCCCACAGCAGAAGTCCTGGTCCCAGCTTCTATTTCCAGCCTACTAAATAAAAAGCAATTCTAGACTGACAGTTTGTATTGGGTCTGGCTGAGACGGAGTTAGTCTTCCCCACAGCAGCCCTCATAGTGCTGTGCTTTGTACTGGTGGCTAGAAAGGTGCCGATAACACTCCAGTGTTTTGGCTGCTACTGAGCAGTGCTCCGCAGCCTCAAGGCTGTCTCACCAACATTTTACCCCCTCTCACGAGTAGGCTGGGGGTAGGCAAGATATTGGGAGGGGGCAGAGCCAGGACAGCTGACCCAAACTGACCAAAGGGATATTCCATACCATATGACCTCGGCTGAGCAATAAAAGCTAAGAGAAAGGAGAAGGAAGGCGGCGGGGGGAGCGCGTATTCATTATTTACAACATTTGTCTTCTGGAGCAACTGCTACGGATACCAAAGCCCTGCTTCCCGGGAAGTGGCTGGACATCACCTACTGATGGGAAGTAGAGAATAAAATCTTTGTTTTCCTTCTGCTTCTGCGCACGGCTTTTGCTTTTATTAAACTGCCTTTATCTTGACCCACAAGGGGTTTTTTTCCATCTCATTTTCCCCCCGCCTGTCCTGCTGAGGATGGGAGTCATAGAGCAGCTTGGTGGCACCTGGCATCCAGCCAAGGTCAACCCACCACATAGTTGAAATGTCAAGGGAAAGCAGCAAATTCTACAGCAGCTGATAACAGTCATCATAAGTATTTAAGTCTTCTGCTTGACCTTCCAGCAGATTTTTTTTTAACAAGTTGTTTCAGGATGTTGCTTAAGGCATTGTTTGCCAGAGACATGCTAAAAGAAGACATGCTCTTTCCCCTGCACTCCTTCCATAAACATCCATCACTTCACTTTTTCAGAGACAGCATACTGAGCTGGATGGCCTTCAGTCTAACCTCTTTCAGTTCATACCCAATAGTGAGCTGTTACTCTGACAAAGAAAAGGACTGGAGACCTAAGCATTATCAAATGCCCACCTTTTTATGATAAACATCCCAACATCTCTCTTGATCTAGTAAGAAGCGTGTCCAAGACTTGTTTTATCTTGTGAAAATACTATTACACAACTGTTGTGGTTTAGCCCCAGTTGGCAACCAAGCACCACGCCGCCGCTCACTCAACCACCACCCACCCCGCAGTGGGATGGGGGAGAGAATTGGAAGAGCAAAAGTAAGAAAACTCATGGGTTGAGAAAAGAACAGTTTAATAATTGAAAAAACAACAACAATAATAATAAATTGTAATGAAAAGGAAAACAATGAGAGAGAGAAACAAAATCCAGGAAAAACAAGTGATACAACTGCTCATCACCTGCTGACAGATGCCCAGCCCATCCCTGAGCAGTGATCACTGACCCCGAGCCAACTCCCCCCAGTTTATATATGGAGCATGGTGTCATATGGTATGGAATAGCCCTTTGATCAGTTTGGGTCAGCTGTCCTGGCTGTGGCCCCTCCCAGCTTCTTGCGCACCTGGCAGAGCATGGGAAGCTGAAAAGGCCTTGACTAGTGTCACCACTACTTAGCAACAACTAAAACATCAGTGTGTTATCAGCATTATTCTCATACTGAATCCAAAACACAGCACTATGCCAGCTACTAGGAAGAAAATTAACTCTATCCCAGCTGAAACCAGGACACCACCACAAAACAGAAGTGTAGAAGTAAATCTAGGGTGGTGTTACAGACACACCTGGTTTAGCCACATGGCATTTATCAGCTCCTAAATACTCACTTTCTAGGAAGAAGTATCAGAACTCAGTCATAAACTTCTGAGGCATCAACATTACCTAAGCTTTACAGTGAGGTCACAGCACCTACATGGTTCTAGAACATGACGTGGGAGTTCAAAGTTTCTTTATAGTCATCAATGTGGCTGCTGGTTGAAAAATGGGGCCTAAGCTTCTCAAAAAGGAACTCTGCAAAGATTTCTGCCTTTGCATCAGATTATACGTGTAGGAAACTGACAACAGTTGGGGTTTGTTTCCCCAAACATAGGAGGAAAACATACAGAAGTACTAAAATTAAAAAAAAACAACTCAGAATTTGGAGAGGATTTGACCTCAGAGTGACAAATGTGTCCATCCATGGCAACACAGCTCAAACTAACACTGTGTTAGAACCATTCATGAACACGATTCAATGCAAATCCTGGTCCTGCTCCCTAAATCCAGGTAGGCTAGAAAGAGAAGAGATACAGAAGCACGGGTAATGGCCACAACACTTTTCCCACCCAAGGCTCCCGAGCGCTGCTGCAAGCCCACACCCACCGGCACAGCCCCTCTCGGGCAG